TTTCTCCCTTACTAATACCCTTCTCCTATGGTCCTACCTCTCTTGAGCTCCTTCTTTCCCTTTATCCCCTAGGTTCCTTGTAATATCTCCCTTATTAAGGCCTATTCCCTACTGTTCTTCTCTTTCAGGTTATTTCTTTTCCTTTACCGCCCTGTTTCCTTTCCATTATCCTGGTTCCTGTAGTTATGTCTGGTTGCATACTTATTTATCAGAGTCTGGTTCTAGGATCCACATATGAGGGAGAACATATGTTGATTTTTTTTCTGAGTCTGTGTTACTTCATTTAGTATAACAGTTTCTAGTTCCATCCATTTACCTGCAAATTTCATGATTTCATCTTTCTTTACTGCTAAGTAAAACTCTATCATATAAATTAACCACATTTTCATCATCCACTTGTCAGTTGAGGGATACTTAGGTTGCTTCCATCTCTTAGCTATTGTGAAAAGAGCAGCAACAAATGGATGTACATGTGTCTCTGCGATAGGATGTGTTCTTTGGATATATGCCGAGGAGTGGTATAACTGGGTCAAATGGTAGGTTCATTTGTAGTTTTTTAAGAGTTCTCCACACTGCTTTCCATAGGAGTTCTACCAGTTTGCAGTCCCACCAGCAGTGGATGAGTGTTCCCCTTTCCCCACATTCTCTGCACCATTTGGTATTATTTGTTTTCTTGATCTTAGCTAGTCGGACTGGGGTAAGGTAGAATCAAAGTGGTTTTAATTTGCATTTCCCTAATTATTAGTGATGTTGAACATCTTTTAAGATGTTTCATAGCCATCTTTACTTCTTCTTTTGAGAACTCTCTGTTCAGCTCCTTAGCCCATCTTTTAATTGGGTTGCTTCTTGTCTTGGTTCTCTGTTTTTTGAGTTCGTTATAAATTCTGGTTATTAAACCTCTGTCGGATGTGTCACTGGTCAAGATTTTCTCCCATTCTGTGGGTTTTCGGTTTGCTTCCTTGGTTGTCTCCTTTGATGTACAGAAACTTTTTAGTTTAATGAGGTCCCATTTGTTAATTCTTGACCTTGTTTCCTGAGCAATTGATGCCCGGTTTAGAAAATCCTTTCCTACACCTGTATCTTTTAGGTTTTTGCCGATGTTTTCTTCTAACAGTTTCAGAGTTTCAGACTTTACATTGAGGTCTTTGATCCACTTGGAATTGACTTTTATGCAGGGTGAAAGATACGGGTTTAGTTTCATTCTTCTACAGGTACAGATCCAGTTTTGTCAGCACCATTTGCTGAACATGTTGTGTTTCCTGCAGTGAATATTCCTGGTCCCTTTGTCAAATATCAGGTGGCTGAAATCATGTTACTCGTGTTTGGGTCTTGAATTTTGTTCCATTGGTCTATGGGTCTATTTTTGTGCCTGTACCATGTTGTTTTTATGACTATAGCTCTGTAATACACCTTGAAATCTCATATAGTAATCCCCCCAGCATTGCTCTTAGTGCTCAGGGTTGTTTTGGCTATCCGAGGTCTTTTGTGCTTCCATATGAATCTTAGGATAGCTTTTTCCAATTCTGTGAAAAATGTCATGGGGATTTTGATTGACATTGCATTGAATCTATATATGGGCCAGTAGGATGGTCATTTTCACAATATTAATTCTTCCAATCCATGAGAATAGGAGGTCCTTCCATCTTCTGATGTCTTCCTCAATCTCTTT